AACGAGCCGAACACGAGCTGCTTAACGAGCCGAACACGAGCTGTTCACGAACAACGAGCCAAATTGACAGCCCTATTGGAGACGGAAGTGAGGCCCAATTTCATGTTTAGAATTTTTTCTTGAAGTTCTCTTGCAATGACCCATTTCAAATTATCCCGCTATTATGCATTTTTTCATGTTGGTTTCTGGCGGTAGAACCTTATGATCACATCACGTGAACCTGACAGTGCTATGATGTGTAATACTCACATGATATGGGTTAACATCCTACATATATGGTTTGGTAAATCTATCATGTGATTCAGCCTTTGGATTTCTTTTGTGCTGGAACTAAAGTTCTCCACTTTGCATTTCTCTAGGATCATATTCCGAATGAAGCCACAATGCAACAAGCGGTTGGGCTACCATCACCAAGCACATTAAACAGTAGATCACCTTTTAGCCATCGGAGGGGACCAAGTGACATTGATGCACTTCGAGCTTCTCTTCAACCTTCGCCCTTCTCCCGCAATCCTCTCCAAACACCGCCAGGTTTCAGGACGCATCTGCCCATGAGCCAAGCTTCGAACGTTTCTTTGCAATCTCCCAGCCTTCCATCTGTGGTTCGCCAGCCATCACAAAACACGATCGGCCTTGCAGCTGGTAATTTTGCAAATCAGCGAAGTCTTGCTCAAGCTTCTCTGCCACCCCAGTTTTCAAGATCGCTGTCCACTTCCGCGTCCAATTTGCCGGCATCTTGGGAGAACTCGAGAGTGGTCGGTACAGATCGATGGAGGAGCATGACAGGGGGAACACCTTCACCACTTCAAAGGTCAGATGGGCTTCCTGAGCTTCCATCCGAGCAGAATTGGAGACCAATTGGTAGAATGAGGGGCAGCTTGACTGGCAGTGATTATTCAGCTGTTATAAGTAACTATATGCCCCCTTTGAACCAGACCGCTACAGGCAGGCCCTCATCTTCTCTCTCAAACTCTGATCAGTTTTCAGCATTAATTGCCAACAATCTCTTGTCTCATGGAGTACTGAATCACCAAATTAACCCTAGTCAGGATAATTTTAGCACTCAACAAGGAGATACAAGGATTTAACTCTAAACCCTACTGAAAGTATCTGTTTTCACCTGTAGATTCATTGATCGCTGTACATTTACATATCTGCAGTGGCTCTATAGTGAGTTGTTTTTTTATTTTTTTACTTCTTTTTTAACTATTCAAGTAGCTGAGTTACCGTATAATGTTGAGTGTGATCAAATATGTTAAAATGATAGATGTGTCCGTTCATAATTATGCGAGCTTCCTTGTTTGCTCTTTGTGCCTTTATATGGCTCTGCATTGTTACATGGGAAGTATGTTGGTGCAGGAGAAATTGTTTGCTATGTTTAAGAGCTTAGAGAGCACTTTAATACTATGCTTTATTTATTTGTTTTTTTTTTTTTTAAATCTTTAGCGATGGATTGATTGCACTGCTTACTGCTTTGAACCGAAATAAAATAAAGATTTTTATTTTTTTGAAATTTAAAGTGATTTGTTTGATTTGATATGAAAGGTTTTGGTGGTATATATATAAAAAGGTATATAGCTTAGGTGTTAAGTATATAAATAACTCGGAATTGGTGGTATGTATATAAATGCTTATAAAATAAAATATAAATACCAGACGCAATATGCTTCCAGGTTCATGTAATTCTGAGCAGCAGCAGCAGCAAACAGTATGTTTTATAATATAAGATGTAGAACCTGTTTTTAACTATTTTTTATTTTTAAATCATTTATTTTGTATGTTTTCACCGATTTTTAATTAAATAAATTAATCTATTTTAAAATATTCCAAAGTTTTTTGAGTTAATGTTGAGTGTGTTTTAACAGAATCTGTCATCGTTTTATCCCGCCTCTCACTATTGAACCAACCTTCATTTGTCGCCATCAAAATCAAATATAAAAAAAAACGTTTTATTTAATAAAATTTTAAATACATATAATACAATTTATACGTACTTTAGTATCTAACTTAAAAGTTTGATGTTTATGAATATATTAATCTAGTGTCAAAAATGCATTCTATTCTATTTTGATAAGTATATAATAATGATATTTGTCATGCATATAAATACAAATTTTTTTTCTTTAGATATATAAATAAATAAAAATTACTCTACTTTATCATGTCAAGCATATTTTATTAAATTAAAAACATTTATAATGCTTTACATATGTTATGTTATAGGATTTTGTAGAAGGTACTCGCTCTTTAAATATCTAAACGATAAATTATAGAGTTTAGATTTATGGTGAATGACATGTTGCTAGAGAGTGAATGAAGTCTAAGTTTTTAGACTCTATTTTACACCCAACAAATCAAATTCAAGGTTGACAAGCACTCTATATTTGTATAGTGTCATAGATTCATCATGAATAATTGATTGGCTTGAAGTGGAAGTTAAAGTAAATTCTATAAGAATGACAAAATGCACAATAACATCATCTTCTAAGAGACGTGTTTTACACAAGAGAAATAAAAGACATATTGAGCAATTTTTTGTGATGATATTGTTATAATTGCTAGTTGTATAGCTCACATTAATAATACCATTTAACAATAAAACAACTTCTGAGCGAAAGAAGATGTTTATTGGTTGTTTGGCAGAACTTTGAAGTATTCTCTGTTTTTTGGAGTTCAGATTAATAATATATATAATGAGTCATTTCTTTTCAATCCTATGAAATAAAAGTCTAGTTAGGAAAATAATTTTATAACATAGGAGTTAATAATCTATTAATTATTTTGAATGATAATATATTATCATTATGACACATATCTTTACACGTATTTTAAATTTATGAAATAGTTATGATCATTTTAAATATATCCTCAAATAATTAACACTCGATATGATTATTTATTTTTTGATTGCACCAATGAAAATTATTATGTATTATATATTTTTAATTTCTTATTCATATGGGTTTTAATTCATATAAGATATTCAAATTGCTCAAATATTGAATTATTTTATTAAAAAAATTGAGATAATGTTACAACATATTTCAAAATCGATGCACGAGTATATTAGAGGTTCTTAAATCCTTAATTCAACCGAAGATTGACGAATAGAATGAAGCATGGGGTTTGTATTTTAAATATTTCAAACATAATGTAATTAATTTGCCATATATTTGGAATACAATAAACTTATAATTATCTACAACCACATGACCTTTTAAGCCTGATAAAAATGACTCTTATGTCATTCCTTCAGATTTAGAACAATCCAGTCAATTTTTTGAAAGCTGGCTTAATTAGAAGCAAATCCAAACCCTCACTTAATTTTTAGTGAATTTTTCTATAAGATGGGCAGAGTTGATTTTAACTACAGTCCTTGGCTTGGTTTGATTTGAGCAACATCCATGTCTTATAGCATGATGATATAATTCTACAAATTCTGATGCTCATACAATTTTAAGTTGAAGAAATTTAATGATTTAAGTTGTTATAAATTCTAGTAATGAATGAAAATGACTAAGATGATGCACTAAAGGAGTTCCAATCTCAATTGATCTTAGTTCTGAAGTAATTAGTCAAAGCATTGCCTAAGAAGATGAAGAAGAATTTAAAGGCTATGGTTTCCTTTAGGCTCTACCACAAACTCATGCTTTATAAAGCTAAGAATTTTAGTAGATATCTTCATTTAAAGTCAGAAAGGCAAAAGAAGCAGACAACAGGAGTGTTGGAGAGCAGGTATTAAATGGGTTACTTGGGTCGAATTCGAGTCAATTGGGTTGAGGGTGAGTCAGGTCTGGATCAGATTTTTAACCCATTTAATATTTGGGTTATCTACATCCATACCACCCAATTCCTATGTATTTTACAAGTCTTAAACCTACAAGTTGATTTTTACATCCATCTGGCCTAATTCTTGCATATCACATCAAAAACACCACTATTTTAACTTTTAAAAAGTGAAATACACCTTTTCATGCATTGGCAATGCGACATACATATATGTAAAAATTAAAGTTTAGGTATTAGACATGTAAATACATAAATATTTAATAGTATGTATGTAAATCTTCCATACATTAATATATACTGCTTTCAAGTCCATCGTGTAAGTGTGTTTATTCCTAGAATATGATTAGGATCTCTCCAGTTACCATGAACATTGGAGGAGAATGAATATCGCAAATGGAAACATTTCAATCCGTTTTGGACAGCTGAGATTGATTCTCATTTTTTCCCCCTTCAATTTTAACCATCCAATTCAGTTTAGTCAAATTAAAGAGCTCCAATTGATAGCTGCATATTCATAATCAACGAAGCAATTATTTGAATTTCATTTCATTAACTTTCCATCAATCCAGACAAAATCACAAATTGCATACTATCAATATTTTAACTCAATATACAATTCACACAAATGAGATCTATAGCTTGGCTATAAGAATGGGTGCCCTTGACCCACTATCATGGCTGCTGATGTTTGCACCAAAATTGTTCCATTTCAGAGAACGAGAAGAGATCTACCAAGATTTCTTATAAAATACTCATGATGATCAGCTATCAAAGCCGGCCTGTGAATTTATCAACTTTTAATCTTGAAATTATTATTTTTCAGATCATAATTTACATATGAATGCTATCAGAAGATTCTGCAATTTCTTCAAATGCCAAAATTTTAACCAAAAATACCTTTCTAATGGAATCATGCAAACAGCCAAAAGGTTTGTATAACCTGCTCAAACAAAGACTAGCAGGTAAAAATATAAACTTTACATCATTCTCCTTGCCAGGAAACATGACAACCGCATAAGTCTCTGTATATAAGACTAATAAAAAATTCATAATTCCTATGCATTCACATATCTAAAACCTAAACTTTACATTTTAAATTCAAACCACCCAAATCTTTAGCATCAACAGTATCATTATTTTGATTTTTAAAAAGTGAAATGCACTTTTTCATTAGTTGTTAGATATGTAAATACATAATACTTGAGTGAATGTATGTAAATCTTCCTTAAAATTAACAAAGGCAACAGAATTCATTCAGTGACCATTAAAAGCAATCACCAACCTATCACTCAATGCATTTGCCATTCTCCACTTAAGCTTACAATGATATCTAATTCTTTACTATAACAACTACTATTTCATTTTGGTTCCCACATAAAAGAAACCGTCTTCCTAAGTTTCCCTAATTCAGTTACCTTCTATCAAATGAGTGAATCGCCAGTTTAAGAAGAGAAATTGAATCGCTGCAACTAAAGAAAGAGAGACTTTTATGTAAATAACAATTTTTATAAACTACATGTAAGTCCAGTTTTCGTATCAAAATGCCAAATTGTGAGCATAGAAATGCCAAGCTATCTGGTTAAAATAAATTAAAACAAAAAGAAGAAATCAAAAGATCATTTTATCATCCTAGAAAACAGCATATTGGTTTAGAAAGACGAGATTGAACTGAATTCTATTGGTAGTTATAATTGTTATCCAGACATAAACAACATGTAAACAGCATCAAACATCGAATCATAAAACTCCCAATACTGGGAAAAAAAAAGGAAGAAGTTAACTTCATGGAATACCTTTCCTATTCACATTGTCCATAAAAAAAAACATCCTTCAGATTTGAAAGAAATCAAAATTGATTTTTTTTTTCTTTTTTATAGTATTGTAGGCGTGCAAACCAATCGACAATAATCAATAATAGCAATATGTATCAAAAAGGAAGAAGTTAACTTCATGGAATACCTTTCCCATTCACATTGTCCATAAAAAACATCCTTTAGCTTTGAAAGAAATCAAAATTGATTTTTTTTTTTTTTTTTATAGTATTGTAGGCATGCAAACCAATCTACACTAATCAATAATAGCAATATGTATTAAGACACTCTAGAGTTAAATCTTTATCGCCATTTGGTGCTTTCCACCCGCAATGTCCTTAGAGACAAGCAGATTTATGTGGAATTTCAAACCTTGCACTTTCCCTCATACTGTTTTACTGATTTCATTCAGCATCAGTAAATAGTTTCATAGGAACAATGCATACTATAGTGGCAAGCCAATAAACTTGACACAAAAATAGGTATAAGACTAACTGGATAAATAGGTTGGATTGCACACTTCACAGGAGGAAAGAAAACAACCGTTTAAAAGTTGCAAGCCAATAGCAGAGGTTTGAAAACCAACAAGCAATATGTATCTCCTTTGAAATCTGAATATGAGAGACAGTATATCTATTTACATTGTTCTTCTATTCAAAGTAATGCAATAATGTGAAACAAATGAAGGAAAGCAGATTTAAGAAGTGAATCTGACTAAGAATTTTCATGTTTCAAAGATACCCATAAGAACAACAATGTCATTACTGCTTTGACATTGTAATATATAGTTCCAGAACAAGCTATTAGGGCTACAAAGGGATAATTCACCATGGAGAAGCAGAATCCTGTCTAACTGAAGGAGACCTGGATGCCAAACTTCCATCTCTTGAAAACCTAGACAAACTTCGTTCCCTTGGAGTAGAGACTGCTGGGCTTGTCCCACGATAACTAGCACGAAGATTCTCATCAACAGAGCTTGAAGTTTTGGCAATTGCATTTCTAACAAACTTTTGTGCAGCAGGTGAAAGATTTCGAACACTGGGGCTTGCACTACAACCCCGAGCAGGTGAAGGCAAGGGTGGCTTCCGATACATCTTGGACCTCTCTCTTAATCTCCTAGTAGCTTCTCTTGAAAGAGAATGTGCCTTCACATCCCGGGAGGGTGGCAATGGAATACTGAAATGCGGCCCATCAATACTCCCACCATTACCAACTGGTGTCTCTTCCAGATCCAATCTCAGCGGTGTTCCCTCTATGGCTCCCCATGTCATAAAAGGGGATCCATCCACACCAGGAGCTGGGGAAGGCGTCTTCACAAAGCTATACCCATTTTCTGATATCTGTTCAGACTCAGCAAAGAATGCATTTGGGGTTTTTCTCAGATCTTCCAAGTCATACTTTTTCAGCTTCTCTGCCTGTCGATCACCAAATGGCCAAGAAGCACCTGCTGGTGTGGTGCCTGGAACTGGAGTGTAGAGAAACGAGGCTGCTTGTTCCTCCTTAGTGGGCTTCGAATCAGCAATAGACTTTCCCTGAAATCTTGTGTTTGATTTGTCAATCTCCTTCGTCAAGCCCTTCAGCCTCTCAGCCCTTTCCTCCTCCGTAAGGGGGACCTCCCCACGATCAGCAGGATTGTACATCAAGAGATTCTTTGCCGTGTACTTCCACCCGTCAAGGGTGGCCAACGGCTGTCCAGAAGTTCCATAGCCATCCGTTATTCGATCCCTCCTCTCATCCTCTATGGTCTTCACCGTTTCCTCCAACTCCCCTTGCAACAGATGAGAATAGCGATCCCTCCTCTTCCTGTTTACCTTCTCCATGATCTTCGAGAAGCTCTCATTGTCCTCGCTCGTGTACCTGCAGCAGAATTCATCGAGGGAGAGAGAAGTATCCACATTAGAAGTGGGATCTTCTTCACTTGCAACTTGATCGCCGGAAACGGGAACAACAGACGGGGTTTTATCGGCGCCAAAGGGCGTGGTGTAGCCTCGAGCCAGTCGAGGCGATCGCGGAGCTTGGGGATATCCGGAAAGAAGTCGCGCTCGATGATCTTCTCGATGGCGGCAACGTAGGTGTCCTCGTCGAGGACGCTGATGCGGCGCTTCCTAGGGTTGAACGGGTCGGCATGTTTTAGGGTCAGGGTTTTCTGAGCAGCGGAGGAGGAGGAGGGGTTGGGGGACAAAGATGGTGTGGAGATGTGGCGAGGGGAGTGGCCGGGAGAGAGGAGCATCGTCCGTTGAGAGGGAGATCGGGAGAAATTGGATTAGGGTTTCGACGGGGGGAAGAGAATGGCAAAGCGCGAGCAGGGAACGTAGAGATATTTATGGCAGCTAACATTTATATATTTATAGAAAAAAAAATCTTTTAAATTAATTTTGTTTTAAAATAAATGGGCTACATTTTTTACTGATTTTTTTTTAAATAAATAATTGAGCTTCATTTTGAATGAATCATTTTTTAATTTTTTTAGATATTTATATTATTATCTTTAGTTTTGAACATTTTTAATATGTTGTGTAAAAGTAATTAATTAATCTTTTAACAATTAATAATGTAAGAATTGTAGTGTTATGTTCCTAATTAAAAAAATTAGCCAAAAATATTAGTAGGAACTTTAATTAATGATGTTGTTGTATTTATAGATAAAAGTAATTATGTAAATAAATATTCTAGTTAATATAATCTTATAATATATATACTAATTTTATTTATTTGAATTATGCATGATCTATCATGAACAAATTGCACTTCACCTTTACATGACAATTCACTCTTATGTACTTTGGTTATAAAGCATAACACATATAAGATTGAATAATTTGCATATTACTCCAATATGTAGTCAGTGGTTAGAGTACAAATTTCACATTTTTAAAGAGAAATTTACTTACACACCAAAAAAATTTTTATTTATTTACATATCTAACACACAACTTGGATATTAACACGTATAAAATCCTGATGTCATAAGCCTATACATAAAAATGTGTATTTTGCTTTTAAAAAGGCAGTGTGTGTTGTTTTTGAAGTGTTCTTAAAGATTTGAGTGATATGCATGTAAATAAAAATGTTTAGGTTTTAGATATGTAAATACATAAAATTGTGTGCTATGTATGCAAACGCACCTTTTCTAAAGCAATAAAATGTAAATAATAACAAAAATTAGAGTATTTAAATAAGGTTGAACTTAAACAAAATGATAAGGTGATTACATACTTTCAATTGAATTTCAATTAAAAGATCAAATCTTGCTTAGTTTCAAGAAGTCAAGTGAATACATACAAAAAAGAAATGGAAAGAGATAGAAACCAACAAATGTTTTAGTGCGATAGAATAGAAGATCCTCATTGATATTAAACAAGCATTCATCCACAATTCAATAGGTATAATCAAATAAGCCAACAAAATTCTTCATATTTGTTATCAATCCAAAGAAGTTGAAACTCTTCCATCTTCAAGATTCAAATAATAAAAAATAAGCATTATTAGAGCCTTTATAAGCAAAAAAAAAAAAAGTGCTCAATGTCATTCTCCAATCACCAACTAGTGAACCTACAAAATTAAGTGACTACAAGAGCAATGATCAAAACATATAATGTCTTATTGCTTATAAAAAGCAAATAAATAAAAATCAAATAAAATACTATAAAAATTTTTGAAAGAATAAAAATTGATACATTCATTCTAAAATATTACCAAGCCAAAAAAAAAAAAAAAAAAAAAAAACAACTATTAAGCTTAAGTTCAAACAAAAAAGGTTGAAGCAAACCAATTCCAATTTTTTCTCTGTTGCAACAATTGTGTGATAATTAATCAAGAAAAAAAACTAACATTAGTTAGAATCTAGTATCATAATAATATGAAGCAAAAAAGGACTTGAAAAATATTTCTTAATAAGTAAAAAAATAAATCAATACAAAAAAATATGCAGTTAATGACGCAGAGGACATACTCTTAAATGTTATAACTTCAATACTAGAAATATATTAGTAATTAAAAATCCATTATGTAGCTCAAAACCATCATAAATAAGGAACACTTAAATAATCATATAAAACCGAGATTGTGATATAACTCATGCTAAAATGGTAAAGAAGAACTAAGCAAAAAAAAAAAAAAGCTAGTTGCACATAAACTAAATTAAAATAAGAGATTAATGTTTCAATTATACTCTTGCATCCATTGTTTCTTTCTTAAATACAGTAAAACCATTTTATCATTATAAATAAAGCTCACAAGTATCAAGATGATCATTGTTATTAGCAAGAAAATCCACACAAAAATATCATTTTCTATAAATATGAGTAAAGAAAGCTAAAAAGATTCGAGATATTAAAAATCTATTCATTAAATATAATTAGTTTTCATTCCCTATTTTTGGATAATTAATAAGGTTAACCATTAATAAAGCTAGAATCAATATTAATCATAATATTATAACGCTCAAGAGAAATGATGATTTATACAACTATATGGATAGCCACAATTCATGTAATATGAATAAGAATTGTGGAAAAAGGATAAGTAAAACAAAGCAACTTCACAGACAAAATTTCTAAAAACACGACCTCCCTTAGCTATGATAGAATAGTTGTACAATCGATACTTATCTTAATAAAGCTATGAGCAAGTTTTTTCTTAGAAAATGATATGATCCTTAATAGTAGTTTGATTTTTAGGAAGACACGACCCTATTAAGGAAATAACATTTATAAATCAATATTGAAGTGCTTGAAAGAAAATAAGTGCCTATTATTCATTTGATGAATCTTATCATAAATTATATTTATAATTTTAATATGTTTCATGAAAAAATCGTTATACTTTGTTTAATTTCTTTGGAATCAAAGAAACCAAAAGATAAGAATATGTATAATAATAACAATATGAACATTTATTTTATCCTCGAAGGCAAAGATCCAAATTGAAAAACTCTAGCCACCAAAGAGATGGAGAAGGAAGATATTAAAAAAACTCATAAAACAATAACCAAACTTTTTTTTAGTAATAATAAATACATAATTTAAAGTTTATATATGAAAACTAAATATTCATTTGTAAGCTAAGTAGAATCAAAAAAAAAAAAAAAAAATTAAAAAAAAAACACCACAAAAAAAAAAAAAAAAAAAAAAAAAAGAAAGAAAAAAGAAACCAAAATATTTGAAATCAAAATGAAATTAATAATAGAAAAATAGGCCCCATTATTAATTGCATTCCAATCTTTCATAAGAATAAACTGAAATTTAATGTCACTTAATATAATGTATTAGCCTCAAGATAAATCAAATAAAATATTAATAATCTCACCAGCAATAATGAGGAGTATATCAAGTAACTTATGCATATTCTATTCATGATCTAAGAAGAATACATGAACTTTAAAGTCAATTAAATATAAATAAAAATTAATTGCTCATCAATATAGCCCTTTCTCATCAAATTATTTTGGGAAAAAAAATCATTCCTCAACACAAATCGGATAGATTTCTCTCCTTCCTCTTCAACCCCCCATAAATGCTTCCAAATCAAAGAATCTCGGCCCCTTTTTATAATAATTACATAAAAGGTGTTTATTCAAATAAAACTTATAATGTATAAAATTTACCCACATATTTCATTTATCTAAAATATCAACCAAACTTTATGAAAAATAATTTAATAATGTTAGTAATAAGCTTAAAACCAAAATCATCATCAATATCTCCACAATAATTAATCCAAAAAGGCTAAAGATTATTTCATTCCATGAGTAGAAGACCCCCTCGAATGAGGTTATGAAATAATCTCTCTATCCCATTATCAAAGGTTGTCATAGGACAAAGAATTTGTTAAAAAAATATTAGCATAGAATAGGGAGCACTCCTAATCAAAGTATAACTACAACAAGAAGACAAAATTTAAATTTCTAAGGTGAAAGTTTATTTAGGATATTAGAAACTAATTCATTAAATAAAGAAGATCACTTCTTAACTTCACTAATGTACTTTCAAAATTTGAAAAAAATTAGAAAGATCAATATGGTGCTAGTAAAGAAGTGACAAAATGTTAGGGACTAAGATGTAAAATTAGTGACAAGTGTAATGATTTCTTCTTACAACCTATCTTCACTAAATTTAGAACCTTTACTTCTAGAATTCATTTATACATGCACTTTGGGATGTCCCATGCACATTTTGCAATAAGAAAAGAGCAAGCTGTTTACGCTTCTCTTATTCTCCACAATTCTCTATTACAAAAACAACCTATATATAATGTGTATATTTCCAAGAAGGACACAAATAAGGATACAAGGGCAATTTATAATTTGCATATATGCCCATTTTATATCTAGCTGAACAAATCCGAAATTAATGAAGAAAAGCGAGTAAGGCTAGAACTGAGAGAGAAACTGCATCTGATTGAGAAGAGGGCTGAGTGTCTCCATTAGGATCTCACATGGATGGTTGTGAACTCCTTCGTATGTGGTTACAACGACGGCTGCATCGCTTGAAAGACGCTGGACTTGTTTCTTCACGCTGCATGTGAGCTGAGAACATCTGTAATAGCTTCTTTGTTCACAATGTGGTATAAATGTGAAAGATGTGTCAGTTCTATATTGTTTTTGATATATAAATATACAAGAGTAAATGAAAAAATGAAAAGGGAAATAAAGCTTTTCTTGCATAGGTAATGAGGGGTATATGTAAAAATTGAAGCTTAGGTGTTGAAGGTGTAAATACATGAGAATTGAAGGTTAGGCATGCAAATGTTCAAAATAATAATAATTAAAAAGAATGTTAAAAAAAAATGTATTTTTGTGTTTTATAAAATTCTCAATGTCGGAGAAATCATGAGCTTTAGCTCGGTATAATGTTGAATGCCCATACAGGTTGGACTTGACCCGGTTAAAGTAATTCACTTGGAAATTGAAAGTATAAAGCTTCACTTTTCTCCTAAGTTAGCAAATATGTGATTAAAAAAATTTGACAATCACGATTTTATAATAGTAGTTTGGTTACAATTGGTCATAATTAGGCACAATAGCAGTAGTTGGTGGTTGCAACAAAGTAATGCACTTGGTATTCAAACTCTCACATGAATTCTCTTATTCATCTAAGCTTCAATGTTTATCTACAATTCCAACATATTCTGCAAAGGATTTTTTGTAATCGAGAACTTTATTTGCTTCAATCTTAATGCAGTTTTTGTAATTGATTTGTAGATGAGAGTTATTGTTTAATCTTGTCAAGCAATCTCACTAGTTTCTTAGAGCTTTGATATAATTATAGACCAGACTGATCATTTTGATGAAATAAATTATAGTTGAAATAAATAAGAGAACCTTTTAAATGAGTTTATGCTCAATGGAAAAAAAAAATGAACTATCTTCATGATAATTTCTTAAAGATGGAGGTAAAGATTCTATAACTGATTTCATACAAACTTTTATAAATAGATAGAATGTTACTTATATTCAAGTGATCAATAGGATTTGTAGTCATTCTATACATCTTATTGACAAGTAAAAAATTTTGCTAACATGAGAATCTTTAAAACTGTACGTGTAAATGAAGAATAATGTGTTATGATTTTTGAATGAGTAGGTCAAATAAGAATATCATTGATGTTTTTATCCTTAACCTCTTAATGAAGATGAGATAGTTGACTGATAAGAAAAAGCTAATAATTTGGAGTATTATTAGTTACTCTTGTGAAAATTTCAATAATTAATGAGCATTTTTAAATTGAGGTTTAATAGCTTTTATTTATAAAAAATATTATCATTTGATGGCTCACTAACATGATGCTCAAAATGAGTAGTTCAATTTGAATATGAGACAGAAAAATGTCATTGAGGTTGTAGTTATCATTTCCATTTCTCTTTCTCTTTTAAAACTATATTTGACTTTCCCATGGATGGTGCAAATGATATGAATGAAGATTATTCACTCTCACAAAGTATGAGGAAAATTTTGTTGCTTAGAGCTTATAGAATATGGGGATTAAGAAAGAATTGTACTTGAAATTCTATATTGGGGTACAAAGCAAAAACACAACTTCAAAATATGAAGACAAAGAATTATAATTGGTTAGCTCTTGTGCCATGTTCATAGTGCAAAAAAAAATGAAAAATAATTCATTATATAAGATAAAGATATATGAGATTGCTTAATTTGTGCTTTGGCTTGGTGTTTTATACATCCACTTCTATTCTTATGGATATGTGTTCAAACTCTCCTACTTCTCCACTCAACTAAATATTATTTCTTTGAAAAAAAATTGAAACTACTATCTATTATAATTTGTATCAAATGATTTACAATTTATTTTTAATTAGGTTTTGTGCCCCCTTTATTATATAATGTATGGAGATATGTTAAAATCCTTAAGAAAAAAATAATAGAAAAAAGTATGAGACTATGTCTCTTTAATTACAATGGAATGAGATCAACTATATAGTACACTTGATGGATTAATTTAAAAGACGCTTCCTTGTAGCTACTATATAAGAGATATCAAAACTATTATTTATAATAATGCTTTTACTAATTGATGAGTTGAAGTATTTTTTAATGTTGAGTAGATCTAACATCAAAATTAATCCATGGATAAAATAAATTAAGTTTTCCGTTGTAATTTTTAATAGATTCATGTTTTATTTGTAACATATTCTTTCATTAAATTTACAAAACTTTTGCCTTTTGATATTATTTAAATTCTATGCTCTTTTAAGGGTAATTATATTGATAAGCGTTACCGGAGTGAATCTATGTTCTCCGAAGAAATTTCAAGGAAGACTTTTTCAGAATTCTCTAAAGAGAATCATTGTGAAATTTGAAACATATTGTTAAATATTTGCTTTAGAATTTATATTATTTTATACAATATAGGGTAGGTTGTCTTCAAAAACTTTTGAAAACTATAAATATTAATGTCCATCATTATTATCTACTTTACTTGCATCATTGTATTATCTTCATCACCTCTAACGATGTCGTCACCCATATTTTATTACTTATGCAGCACATGCACTTAAAAAAAATATTTTAATCAGCTAATCTTAGCTATTTTTTTTGGACTCATATTCTTTATTATTCTTAACTCCTTCGCCACCTATCCCTCAAAATTAATACATCATGTTCTTCATCATCTTTCTCTTCCTCTTGATGCATCACATGCTCAACCATATTCTTATTTTGTATTTATTAATATTAGATCAAATGATATTTTTTCTATGCATAAATCATATTATTTCAATACTATTTCTTATCATCACAAAAGCAACATTTTTTTTTTTGAGAAATCCTCTATTTATTCGTGAACTTCAACAATATTTTTTGATATTGGTGGCTCCTCTAAGTGAAAATTTGATTGCAGTTGATATCTTTGTTTGGGAAGTTTTTTATTTGTATTAATTTGCTTTATTTTTTTCTTCTTTCCTTTTTTCATTAAGGACTAAGGTTCTCTTCTTATTAAACTATGTTTAGTTTGAACCTTTCTCTGGGTGAACCTATGAAACTCCTCCTCGAATGTTAAGGAACTCAATTTTTTGTAATTTTTATTTCCATTAATGACATGTTCTTCTCAAAGTACAACCATATGTTGCTTAATTAATGCATTAATATTTACCTTCTTTCTAGATTATAAATCTCATGTCTAATTCTCTCAAAGGAAATATGCAATCTTATTGAACTATAAGCCTAGTGGCACTTAACATTATTTAACATGTTTTGAAATATTGAATTATTCCCTTGTTGGACACTATTTGGGAAATCATCCAAGCGATTCAAATAACAATCATACTTATTTCTCACATTCTCACAAAGAAACAAAAGCTTTTAATGTTATACTTATTATGTATGATTTTCTCATGAACTGTATCTATGATATATTTATTGGCTACATTTTTCTTAATATTTCTCTTAAAAAATATATTTTATCTACACATTTTGATAGTGAATTGTTTAAAAGTAGTTGTCTATATCTGAATCAAGTAAATTTATTTTTTAACACTATATCTGCAATAAGTGTAATCCTCAATAACTACATAAGGATTTTTTTTCTTAAAAAATAATTATCATTAATAAAAATGATAATCATTATTAGAGGTCATACAACCAAATAAAAGAAGAAAACAAAGAAGGCAAATCAACTAGACTTAGTATCCTGATAAGATACATCTAAAAAAAGGTTTGAAAGAACATTTAGAGAAATGAGCAAACTAAATTTCTTTTTTTTATCCTACAATGTATATCAATATCGAATGAGTAAAAATAAAACTCCTTTAATAATGCATCATTATCCATTTTAATAAATTTTTTAGAGCAGTGAGCTAATTCATATCATAGTGAGAGGGCTAATGATGATGTGCCCATAAAGTAGTTCAAGAATAAAATTTAGCATTTATTTAGCTTTAGCAACCTTAGAAGAAAGTGATATATTAGAGCTGCCTTCAAGAAACAAAGGAGATGAAAGTGTGAGAATAAATTCTAAAGATAAATCTACATAAAAAGATAAGTTGAGGGGACAACTTCTCGACTAACATTATCAACAAAGAAAATTTTTTAGTAATAGATAAGTAAGAAGCTTTAGCCCTTAATGGAGAATGAGAGATAGTCCAAGAACTCATATTCAAATTCTAACTTTGAGAAACTAGTTAAAGACAAGAAGGAGAACATGATGAATTCTAAGTTGACATCATTATTTTCATTGTTTGGCAAAATTTTAGAAATTACTTAAGAAGATATTAAAGAAGTTTCCACATTAAGGTATGGAATCTCGTTGAAAATGGAGTCTTTTCAAGATTATTGGTAGTTGATATTATATTTGAGGGTGCTCCTCAACAAAAATTTTTACAATTATAGATTCCACGCCCAATCAACAAGCAATGAAAGCAAAAGGTTGGCATCTCTAAAAATATCCCTTTTTACATAAAATCTCTATTAAGGCTTGGGCTTAATTGAGCTTATTGTATTAAAAATGATCTTAATTTACTAGAACTAAATGAAAATATGACACTAAATAGGATGCAATGGAGAAAAGGGATTCATGTAGCCGACCCCACATAGTGGGATTAAGGCTTTGTTGTTGTTGTTGTTGTTACATAAAATCTCTATCATGAGAACCAATCCAAATTCTGTCTGAATAAATTTGAGAGACATTAATCTAAAAAATTTTAGCAATTAATTAATGTCTTGAATATTGAAGCAATACAGGAGTTCACCCTAAGAAGGCCACCAAATAGAGAGCACAATGAAAATAGAATGAATTTATCAAAAATATGTACTTGTAAGTGTAAAAATGAGATTGAAATAAATACAATAAGAGATTTATTAAAGAAATTAAAATTAGTTATCCATTTAAACATAGATTTCTTTAAGAAAATAACAGTAAAATCCTTCAGTTGAGTAAATCTTAACATAATATATTTATGAATAAAGAAATGATATAAGGAAGCATATGAGGAAGCATCCAAAAGTGTTAGAGCTTAGAAAGTGGATCTAACATATTGAAGAGTTCAAGTAGCCAAACATTTTCCTGCCAAAATAATTTTAAATGAGTTGGTTATCTTATCATCAGGTATGAAAATTGTCTATTTGCCTTAGTGAGAGAAAAATAGGTTATAGTTTTGAGCAGGAAAATCAACTATAAAGGGCACCATAATCCCATAATCTAGATCAAACATGATAAAGGCAATGAGTGACCATGAAGCATATTAATAAAAGATATGTCAGAGAAAGATGATATGTGGTTAGCATGCAACAACTAGGTCAAGTAGTGGTGGCACTAAGCGACCCACAAGAAAAGTTATTTAGAAGCATGGAAGATGGCTTTGACACTAAGGTATTGCGGTTTGTGACATGTATCCAAGTAACCCCAAGAAGAATCAATTATAATTGTATGTGCTTAGAAGAACTACAGGTATTGGAGGTTGTAATGGTGGTCAGCATTGTGTGTGCTGTGAGATTGAGCTACTATATGTTGCCTTTAATTTGTGTATGGGGGAAAAGTGATGGGGTCCACATAGGATAAGTTGAGTTGCATGTGGGAAGAAGAGAAGTTAGCCCGGGTTACTCAGTATTGAGAAAAAGACGTGTGGAAAAATAATACATCGGGATGAGCTACATCTGGATTAGGTGTCGATGGTGTTATTGGTAGTATTGTTGTATTATTGTGGTGTTATTTTGATAAAATAACACCACAATATTACCAATAACACATGAATACTGTCCCCCGCACATGAAACTGTATCAGGGCTCCTGATGTAATATTTTCTCCCATCAACTGCTATGTGAGAGAGGATAATTGAATGAGTCAAGTCAATGTCGAAAGTGATAAATCTAAGTTTTGCAAGTAAGTCACACAAAATAAGTTTTAATAGAAAACTATTTATTTTATACATTATCACATTTTTTGATCTCAAATTCAATATTTATTTGGGCTACAATGAGTTTCATTTTGAACCTCCTTTGTATATATATATATATATATATATTTTTTAAAAGTAACTCATAATTACGCTTTTTTAATAAACAAGGCAAGACTTAGCCACACTTGATGCAACAAAATATAAAGTCAAATATGACTTCTATGATAATTAAAAAATAATACGTTAAAATTGATTTATCTTAAAAAGTTGATATTAAGATTTTCCAAAAGCAGCAGAAAGTCTATGAATCATTCTAATATAAATTTCAATGTATCCCAATCTCTGTTTCTCCACCTTCACCATCATATACCCCCAAATCATGTGTAGTGCTATCACTAAATATTATTCAAGCTCAAACCATCATTGCTTTCTTTTCATCTCTTTGGATTCTTAAAGTTGGAGGGCCATAAGAGTCTATTATATATATATATATATATATATATAACCTACATTTGCATGCTTACATATGTAGTATTCAAATCAGTAATACTGCATAAAAATGCTATTTATTAAGAAATGTTACTTTCACCCACTTAGTGCTACACAGTTTTAAAGTGTGTATTATGAAAAGTAATGGCAATGATCCAAAAGCTCATTGTGTATTGAGTTATATTTATATATAGTATGCCACATAAACAGATTTGTGAACAAATATAATGACTTTGTAGACATGGGAAGCATTAGTTTGGATCCAACAGCATATTCCAATCAAAAGATAGTGGCATTCCATCGATGAATTTGGGACAAATTTCCTCTAATAAATGTCACAAAATTGATTTGATCAAGTAAGAGTTTGGATGTTACTTTTAGATCTCACAATAGAATTTGAGTATTTTGGTTAGAAATGATAGAAATCAAGTACATGATCATTTGTACTCTATTTTTGCTTAAATTATAATTGATATGGTGCAATGTGATCCAACAACCAACTATCAATCCACCTCTGATGTTCTGCATGGACCTTCACTTGATGGCTATCAATGATCAATATTTGATATCTAGTAACAAATGACTTCTCATGATCATCATTTTGGTCTCTAGGTGATCCATTATATAGGAAGAATGATCATGCTAAGACCCAACCAACTATATCTATATGAACTCAATTCTAAAGTATAATTGATCTAGTAAAATTTGATAAGACAAAATTAACAACCTACTATTACCCAACTAATTTTGATGTTCTACATGGATCATCACTTGAGGGCTTCTAATGATCACCCTCTTGGCATCTTTATCCCTCAGAATATAAGGAGAATTGCCATGTCAAACACAAACCATCATCCTAAACATCAATTAACACTTGTCAACCATTGATGTTTGATGGACATATTCTTTGTCACCTCTCCCATCATATCCAGAGTATGATCAACCTATTAACACTTGATCTTCAAGGTCCCCATCAACCATCGACCAATATTTACTAATGGTTGATGTACTATGTTTGCGACAAAACAAAAAAGATTTGACATGCTTTCATGATATCCTGGTGATGATATTCTGGTCCACCCACATATCCTGAAATCTAAGTTGACGACTCAGTGCCACCTAACTTTTAAAGTTCCTTGTCGAACACTACTTTTCTAATGGTTGAATTACAATTTCCACTAGCTAGCTACCAATCATTGAGATTTTTCTAGTAACCAGGCCATTCTTTTTATTAAGAGAATGATCAAATGGATTGTCCTTCGTCGCCTAATTTCTAACATCTAACGCCAATTTCACATTTATTTTACGATGTTAAGTTTGACACCGTAGAATTCTTCTTACTACAATAATAGAAGAACATGCATGTCTCCCATGATTAAAAAATAATATATCATAGAAAGACATTCTCTAATAACGGGGATTGATATTCTTTGACTCATAGTAGTTCAACTATTTCTTATGTTTCACCTTCCCAAATTTTAAATGAATGTTGTACATCCTATATGTTGCTTTTAATTTATTAAATGTGCGCAATTAATATTTTAGTATGTAACACTTGAAAATCATTTAAAAAATGATAAGATTTCATTGAATTCATATGAATTTGTGCCCCATTAATGGAGCATAAATCTCCTTATATCATGAGTCCCCTCTTGTATATTCAATGAAATTTAATTACTATATATATGTGTTGGGATCATATATAATCAACGCAGAGATAATGTTCGGATCATGATGATAATTTAAGCCGACCAAAAGGCTTTTAGTTTATCAGAAAGTCATTTCTAGTTAATCAAAATGATTCCACAAAATCTTTTGTAGTCAACCACGACGCTTCCTGTGAGTAAAAAAGGCTCAACAAAAACTTCATGTTAAAATATAATCATTAATCAAGAGAAAACTCAATGCATGCATGCAACTAAACGGAACAACATTCTGATACAGCAAAAAAAGAACCTGGGAAAGCTGCAATTCTTCACTTTCTTCTGCCCATACTTCCTCCATCTATACCCATCATCCAATATATCACTTTCACTCCTCGTCTGAAACACAAACCTCGGTCTGCTCTCCTTCTTCCCCTCACTCTTCCCTTTCTTCTTCTCATCGCCTCCAATCATGCTGGAGCTGGAGCAGAAATGAAGACCCGAAGCTTCTGGTGATGGAAATGGTGGGCTTTTTTGGGTTAGAAGGGAAGGTGGAAAGTCTTGCTGTGGTTCCATGACCTGCAGTTTAATTAGGTTTTTAAGGGCATTTAAAAAGAAGAGGGTGGTTAAAGAGGAATATGCATGGGAAGGGATTGAGGTCAGGAAAAGAAGAGATGGATATATATATAGAGATATAGTGAAGGAAATAATTTGAAGACCAACAACACTCCAACTACCTTTGTTTAGCTCAACTGCCTGGCCAGCTTTTTTAACTCTTGGGAGACAAGTTCGACATGTCCACACGTAAGTGTATGGTTGCTGCATAATGCATGAATCAATCATGTATGTATTTATGTGTTTATGTATATGTTTGTGTGTCTGTGTGTGTGTCACAAATTGAAATGCCTCTGGATGTTTGCTTAAGCTTTAATTCATATGTATGTTTTTTTTTTTATTATGGCAGGCAAATATGGTTGTTGAATTTAGATCTGTCTGATTGGCCGTACCCAAGAAATAAAACGTAAGATCGAGAGAAGAAGAGCTTGAGAGAGAGAGAGAGGAGAGAGACTTGCTCTTTCAGGGGTAAATCAGAATAATCCCAGGCTTAGCGACCCCTTTTGTTACACAAAGCACGATATTACAAGTGGGGGAAAACCAAAAGCCCATTTTATATGGAATGACTCTCTTATTTATAGATTATATAAGAGTCAAAAAGTAAATTATAATATTACCCTTACTTTTAAAAGGTGGCACTAGATATTTTAGTCATTTGTATTGATGTGATCAACTAAAAAGTCATTCGTCTGAGAGAAAAGTCTCATCTAATTCCGGTTGGCCAAGTGAAAGAGCTTGATCAGTCGACTAAAATGAGTTGACCGAGGGAGAGAGATTGTTCGGCCGGCTGAATTGATTTGGTCGACTAATGGATTGCCACGAAATCCGTGCAGACCATTTTTCGGTATACAATGGTGGAAACAGTTTGGCGTCAAAAACTTTAAATGTATTCCTTACATTCAAGTGGAAGAAAAATCAATGGATAAAAATTCTAAATATAACATGTAAAAAGTATAATTAAATTATAATTAATGGAAGATATCGGTTTGGTTCATTACCTGATATTTCCCTCGAGTAACCAAATGAAAGTCAATTAAATCAATATTTATTTTATTCTAAGGCCTTGAATCTTCTATAGAAATTAGATCATATAAATAAAAGGTATTAAGATTATTTAAAAAACAATTTGCATTGATTTAACTTCTATTTCAATTTTTTATAACATTTTTTATTATTTTTGCTTCCATTTCATTATTCTCAATTTATGATTATTTAACTAATCGTCAATTATTATTTTGATTTTCATTTTATATTTTCATTACATATATATATATATATATATATATATACATATACATTTTAATTTGTTTGTGGAAGATAAGATTAAATTTTTTCATTAAATTATTATTTGTTTAAATATTTAATGAAAATTATTTTTAAACAATTTTTTTAAAAAAAAAAATCATATGAATATTATGATATTTGAAAATGCCTTGTATATTAAATAGTAAATTTTAATTTAATATTATCCCATTTTTTTATTTTTTTATTTTTTTACAAGTTTTTTTGTTTGGAAAAAAATAAATATATTGATGTTTACTTAAATGTAATAGATCTACCTTTAAAATTTATAAATGGAGAGGTAAGTTTTACATCATTTAATTTAATAATTTCTAAATAAGAACTATCTTTACTAATTGTTTCTACACTTTTAAATTATTATATTTTATTATATATATGTGCATCTATATATATATATATATAAAGTAGAATAAAAAATTTGTTATTATTTTATAAATTTTCACAATTAATTTTATTTTTAATTTGAGTGAAAAATTAAATTAAATTAGCGTATCAATCTAAAAAAGAGAAATTTGCACACAAACCACACAATATTTTACATATTTAATACCCAAAATTTGATATTTACATTTATAATACATTGGTGTCATAAACTACGCATGAAAAAATATATTTTTACTTTTAAAATGAAAATATTGATAGTATTTTTGATGTGATCTTAATATTTAAGTGGCATGCATGTAAGTTTGAAATATTAGGTGTTAGATATATAAATACATGAAAATTATATGGTATATATGTTTGTAAATGCCCCATTAAAAAATTTGGAATTATTTTTCTAACTCTATTTTGGATAAAAATCAATTCATTGATTACTAATCATTTGGATGGAATTTTATTCACATTCATTGATTTCATCAATGGTAAAGATGACCACTCATTTGCTCTCATGTGATGCATAAGCCAATTATAAATGACTACTTAAGCTAAGGTAAATACTAGGTGAATCCTAGACTACATAATATTTCATCAAATGTCATTAGAGGCATCAAATGAGTTATTCTAATGATATATGGGAATTACTGTGTAAGATATGAAATATTAATTCAAATCAAAAGTTGGAGAAGTCTTATAATTCTTGATATTTGAAATTTGGCTCTTAATTTGGTGGGCTTATTCTTGCTCATTCATTGACTATTTTGATTGATTCAAGTGGTAATTCTAATGTCCTTGGAATGCTCTTCTTTGATGGAATGGGATCACATGCTCTTGGTGTATGAGACTTGGAATATTAAGTGTAGAGGGAGGGCAAGACTTTAGGTGATTTGTTTGAGTAGAAATATGTGTGTCCAATTTCAGTAGCTAAAGGTTTTTATCAAGATGAGATAGAGGTTTGTTGAGGTTTCTCCTATGATGGATCCCTCTCAGTTGTTCTTTCAACAACAATAAGTTTTTGTGTAGATATTGATTTTTGTATGATAGGGAAACATGAGTGTTCCAATGAATAAAAGGCCTCTAATTTATTGTAAGAAAAATTTTGTTCTTAACTAGTTGGAATAGATTTTATAAATAATTATAATTATGATTTAAGAATCATATATAATATATCCTCCTCTCCATCTAAACTTTTTAGAGTAGCTCTTTTCAGCCATGCAAAGCTTTAAACACCTTCTTCTCCTCAATATTGACCCAAATTAATGTCGAATCAAAGTTCAAAAATTACAAAAGCAAATGGAATATTAAGTTTCGTCAACACTTCACAAAGGTTTCAAAATATTTTATTATGCATTTGATGGCATTATGTTAATATTCTCATAATCATATGAGAGTTGAGTGAGTAAATAGTTTGTCATGCAAAATATGAGATTCTCATACATGGTCAAAATTTGGATGGCCCAAATGTATTTAAATTTAGATTTTATGCATGAAAAATATGTTTTCAAGAAGGATTAAATGCATAGATGAATGAATTAAAGACAAAATAAATTGTTTAAATAAGCATTTTAATACAATTTTAGTTTTTTTTTTCATTTGCATGGATATATGGACGTTTTGATTCCCCCACACGAAATGTTTCTTGACAGAACTAATTTATCATGAGCTTGAACCATTTGTGCTTGGTAAAGTTTGAGGTTTTGTTGAGCCAATAGATGTGTCTCTTCTAGCCCCTCAAGCTCTTCTAACTGCAATCGGATATTTTACTTTGAGGATTCTTTAACCAAGTAGCAATCCTTAGTGGGAGGAAGTGAAATTTTAGATGGAGCACATCGTCAGACTCGTAGACTATAACAAAAAGGGTGAATTGAGTTGGGGTCTGATATACAGTTCTATAAGCTCGTAGAGCCTTAATCCAATTGCTCATGTCATTGATGTTCATTCATCTCAAGTGTCCTTTTTAGGATCTAAGTTATTGTCATGTTGAATGCTTCAGCTAATCCATTCATTCAAGGATAATCTATTTTTTAATAGATCCAATCAATTTTGTGTCACCCCTATAATGTTGTTTATTTTTGTACCTTTGAATGTGGGGTCGTTATTTGATATGACACATCGAGAGACACGTAATTAATATATTATGTGGTTCTTAAAGAATTACAATACATGGCGAGATTTAACTTCCCTTAGAAGAATGTTCTTTGCACACTTTGAGACATAATCAGTCACTACTAGTATGAATCTATGTTCCTTGGACAAAGGAGAGTCTATAAGTACTATGATATTTATGCCCCAACACTCGAAGACCCGCGAGGCAATTTTTGGGGTGCAATACATTAGACAACTAATGTAAAACTACACTGTATATTTAACATTGATGATAGTGACGCGCGGTCTCTTTCCTGTCATTAAATATTGTTTTTCAATAGTATCTCATTTTTTAATCTTGGATTTCATCTTAGAGCCAGACTCGTGAGCACCACATAGTCTGGAACGTATCTCCTTGACAATCTTCTAGGTTTCATGCTTGTCTAAGCAATCCAACCATATACGATCGAAAGAACTTCAGCATAGTGTTTTATTTTAAAGCAATAACATAATTCTCTTGATTCAAGTTGAACAGTTAATGACTTTTCTTGAGGTAGTTTGTGTTTTCGTTTTTTTTTTATAGGAACATTTTGGAGTAGCCAACTTGTTTTATCGTTGTCGTATAATTCTCTTTCCAAATAAATTTCTCTTTTGAAAAGAACCGGAGAGAAAGAAAATACGATGAAAATAGACAAACAATTAAAACAAATGTGGAGAACTTTCATAAGGTAGCATTCGCGAGATAGCCCAAGAGCGTACATCTGAAACAAGATCAGATCAAAAATGCCTCGAAAACATGTCCGTGAAGAAAACCTATGAAAGCAACCTACAATCATAGAGTCAAGTTTTTGTTTGTTTTGGGTCAAGAGAAGCTCCCAAAGGAACATACCCAAAGTTCTTGGGGGGTGCCCAAAAATAGTCTAGATAAAAAGGATCTTGGTTACATTATTTTTTATCTGGTTATTTAGGAAACCAAAGGATTTAAAACATGTGAAGAGGGAGAATCTATGTGCTTTCGATGTTTATACTGGGTCATACGGCAGATGGTGAATCACTGTAACCACTATGAGTGGCGACATGTGGGCATGCAGGGCCCCTGAGATGATATCAACGATTTTCAAAGGGATGACAAGGTTCAAAAGAGGTGTCAACAAGGAGGGGAGGAATCCCTAAGCAGATAGAGGTAGTCGGGTCAGGATACCACGGATCTGTCATCCTGAGCTATAAGGACCCTAAGTATACCTAGTCGTGAAGATAGTCGACCCAATACAGTTAAAGGAGCTTTATCACCAATCAGTGAATTGCATCGTCCAAGGAAACATCGGCAGCCCCAGTGTCAAATGAATAAAACCTCTAATTTTCATTACACTCTAATGGGTGGAATAGATGAGACTTATACTCTTCAGTTCGACGACGAAGATGCCAGCGGAAAGGAGAAGAGAACAGGGGTCTAGCTACATAGCCAGAATCGCCTTACAATGAACTTACGCCATCATCTTGGTCAGGTTAGTCTCTAACATCCTAGTCGTACTAAACAACCTCCTATGTAGAAATCATATGCTTGGCTTAGTCGATTGAAGGAGCTCGGGGACTCTTTCTCGGGACATACAAAATGATACAATTATTTTTACAAATTAATTTAAATGTGGAGGCCCTATTAGAGATGACTTATGATATTGTCATGCTTTGCAGCCTTTTTTAAAACTGGCCCGAAGGCCATGCAGGATAGTTAATGCATAAAGCAAATTGTTGGTTTTAAAATTGGAATATTTTAATTGTAAATTTTAAATTTTATTATTATGATTTTTTAAAAAGATACATTTTTGGGTCTTTAATGAGTCTAGATTTCATTTTTGTAGAGCTCGAACAAACCAACAATCCAAGAAAGTGAAAAGGCAAGCACAGTGCATGAAAGTAAAGTCATTTGGAGGGTGATGGAAGAGACAAAGAAAGATTAGATTAATGATGTCGTAATTTTGATTATCCCCTTAGAAGAGGCCTAAAGTTTTTGTTATTATTGTAGGAGGGGGAGCAAACTTATTGGATAAGGCTTGGATTGAAGAGAGCGATCATCAATAAATAATAGTGATACATAATGTTCCATCAAAAAAACCCAAAGAGGAGTCAAGTACCAAGAAACTATAAGAGGCTAGTCACCAAGCACATAACTCTACAATCTTCACTCTTCAATTTTTATCGAAGAACCAAAAACCATTTTTCATTCATAAAAATTAAGATGATTATGTCATGTTCCAATGCTTGACATTCAAAACTGAAACCTAAGGAAGCAAATATGAAAGTGGAGTTAAACCACTCCAATTTTACACCCAATTAGGCAAGCGGCCCAATTAGCCTCCAAAAAAGATAAAAATTTGATAAAAAGTTTCCATATAGAGAAAAATATTTGAGTTTTTAAATTCAAATTTCAAATATTTAAAGCTTAAATTTTTCAATTTTAATCATTCAATTTCAAATCTTATCAAATTTGAATGTTAGATAAAGCTTTTTGATATGATTATCATAGTTCTTAATCTTAGTTTAAATTAATCTTTAAAATAGTATGGTCATGATAATAGCTTCTTCCTGTTCTGCATCAATTAACTTGAATGAATCTCAATAACCTCTTTCACATTGGTCTTTATCATTAGTCTCGATCATGGTATAATCCACTAAAAGTAAAGTTATAGATCACAAAGCATTTTATCATGAATAAAATTAGCTAAAATACCACTTATTAGGAGAATCAAGTAATGAGGTCTCAAATGAAGCCCAGCATACTAATGGCTAGGCATAGATCAACTAAAAGACAACCACTTCTACATTAAGATATTAGTGCTTATATTCCTTTTGATGTGGGACAATTATCCGCTCTTATGTGAATCTAACAAGTATACCGACCATAATTTCAATATATATAATTATATTCATTAGTCTAGAGATTTTACCCCTAAATCAAAAGCGATTTTCACTTCTTACTCAAAAAGAATCCAAAGAACTTCACTTAATACTGCAATCTCGTTCCACGAGAGCTTAAAAAAAAAAAAGTATTGAACTCTTATATGTCATTTCATAGAAAGAAAAAGGCTTTATTGAACTATAGAATGCAAAAATAATACAGCAATAAGAAAAGAAAAGAAAACTAAGAACAAAGAAAAAGGCCATTTAGACCCTAATATCATGAATTAGAGCAAGCTAATCTTAATTCCCTTCTAGGGGTCATACATGCATAGGTTATCAAATCCCATGTACTCACTCTCATGAATCTTCTGGATCATGTTTGAGATGCCAACTCCGCCTGAAAAGCGAGCAGAACCTCTTAAGATAAACTATGATAAGCAAAACACAAACAGAAACTGATAAAAAAAGAAACTTTTCTCACTGAAGAGAGCAAAATTTCAGCTTCTATTAGAATGAATAAAAGCTTTGGGTCATTACCCAGTGAGATTGCACTAACAAAGATGGTGAAAGCCAGAATAAAGATAATAAGAGATGCCCTTCCAAGTATGTTGATCAGCTTCCTCACTGCATGCTGGCCAATGAAGGCAGCTATCGTAGCAACGAAAGCGAAATAAAGGGCTGTCAGAACAAATAAGTAATCAGAGAATCAGATATGGAAGATCTCATACAATAATTTGTTGCAGAAAGAACTAAACTTAGCCCAAGGAGACTCTGAGTTATCATTTTTGTAAGCTTTTTTTTTTTTTTTTTTGATGATGATAAATACAAGTGCATTAGATTATATATGTGAGATGATTGAGATACCATATGGGACTGGGAATCGCTTGAGGAGATAGTACTCTACAACAGACATAGAAGAGGAGAATGTCATGGCAAAGGTTGCTGTAGCACTTGAAACCTGCAGAAATCTTCCATTTTCAAGCCAAATCTTTATTGAATTTACATGTGAAGAAGATTACAAACACACCTGAGGAGGAATTCCAAGTTCCAGGAAGAGAGGGCCGAGAATGAACCCTCCACCAAGACCAAGCAGTCCACCAACCACACCAGCGAGAATACCGACCAAGCAGTACATGAAGAGCTTGATTAGTTTCCAATCTGCTCCTTCGGCTCCTTTCGATGCAATTACTCTCTTTCCTTTGTACAAGCTAATGGCTTCATATAAAGTCACCCCTACAGAGACTGGGACCTATATGAATTTTGTGATTCCTTGATTTTAAAAAATTAGAATTTATAATTCCTCAATGTAGTAGAATGAAGGCATTGGCATTGCACCTGTAGCAAATTCAAGAGCCAGTACAATTTTGAGCAGGTTACAGTGTATTCCTGCACAATAAATTTACAGACAAAGAAACTATCAAGTTCTGCTAACATGTAGGATGTGTTTAGATGCAAGGAGTTTTGAGGAAGACAAAATGAAATAAAAAAGATTGAAAAGCTTAAATCAATTGTTGTGATTATTCATAACCAACCATAATTTGTTGAAATTTTACTCCAAAACGCTTCAATATAAAAAAGCTAAACATGGACCAACATAAAATAGTTGTGGTGGATCAACACACCTTTGCAACTTGAAGAACAAGGAATACAATCCAAACAACAACTAGAAGGCCAAGTTCCTTCCAGCAAACATTCTCTGTGACTGAAACCTGGAGTGATTAATCATGTTAAGGCAGCCACTACGAAACATATATCAGAGAAAACCTCATCTTTCTGAAATCACCTCTGCTTTTCTAGTCTCTTTAATCAGCAACTTGGTAGCAGTGCCACCTGGTCCAGCAGGTAGGGGCTTGTAGTCTTCTCCTTCCCTACACATATATAATCAAAATATAAACAACCATGTTTAATAAAATTCTACCAATCATAAAAAGGTACTAATTGTTCCTTAGATTACCAGTTGCATTGGCTTGCTTGGCAGCTTCCTGTAACAGAATTTAGATACTAATGAAATTTAGCTTGTTAATTTGCAATTTAGAAGCCAAAGGAGCAAGCTTTAGTATGCAAAGTAAACCTTCTTCATTATTGTCTCCTTTTTCCAAGTTTCTACCCCTTTCATGAAAGCCTTGGTTGATGTTCCTGCAACAAAACATTGCTGAATTCTTGAAAACTCTGAATCAAGTTCATTTTGTCAGATTTGAGAAGCAGATTTACCTATAAACAATATAATAAGGAGAACAGTCACCATCCAATCAGCAAATAGAACATTGAAGGCAACTCCAATGCTAATTCCATAAATAAGCCTCGGCTGAAACAGAAGAGCGAAATGATAGTCGATGATGGGCATATCTATGGTCGGATGACGAAGCTTGAGATTATAGTATACAGTTGATCCTGCTGCTCCCATGATCATAACTGCCCAAACAGTTCGCAGCTATCAGCATTTGAAATTCAAAAAGCAAAATAAAAAGAATTAAATAATCAAATATTTCTGAGAGTCCATTCTGCAAAGATACAACAAAGGTAGGACTTTACAGATTCCATGAGTTACTGATTTTGTATTTTAGTTGGTTATCAGGAAAAGTTTCTTTTTTTTTTTATATCGATTAAACCTAGCATTAATGTTTTCCAATCAATGCAACAGTTACACATGAACTTTCAGCTACACTCAGCAGGATCTTCCATTCATATCACTCCGAAAAAAGTATTAAACAACTGATTTGGAAGCAAGATTCAATCTTTTTTCAAACATCACAGGGCAGAGATGAAAAGATACAAACTTTCTCACATTTAGAAATGGCCGTAGAAGATTTGGGATCAAATCCGATGATAAGAGTGAGCATGGGAACAAAAATCCCACCACCACCCACTCCTCCCACACTTCCAAAAGCAGCTCCAAAGAATCCAATCAACGACCCCAAGATAATCCTCCATCCAAATTCCATCGGCTTTCCAATAACGAAAAAAAAAAAACATTTCTTTAAGCATGAATTGCAAAACCATACTAAAAATGCTATTTTTAACCATCTTCTCCTTTCATTACCGGCCAAACATGCTGATAAGAGAACTCATTCGGCTGCCACAAGAAGTTTACCACAGCCTGCAGGTAATCCTGCGCCGTCTCCACCTCCGCCATTCGCTGGAAAATCTCTCTCCGCCGCCGCTACTTGCTTCGTTTCCGATCAAGTTATCAAATACTAAAAAATAAAATAAAATAAAGAAAAGAAGCCTTTTGGAGTTCTCCCCATATCTCAGCTCGCTCTTCCATGAGAGCGATTTTCTTATATGAGGATGAGGATGTGATAGAGTTCGGAGCGGAAAAACCCATGACCTCTGTTGAATTTACAAATAGTGCCATTCATCGGATGCTCGTTGCAGATTAATTACACGAGAGTTCGTGATTTGGTGGAGTTGTGTGGACCCGTAATGGGGCTGTGAAGATTTATCATATGTCCGCGCGCCGTGCGGGCGGCCAAGTGGGAGTACCCAACCAGCAGAAGCTTCCACCTACCCGTGGTGCTGCTATTTAATTATGTGTGAATGTGTTTAGTGAGATCAGAGAATAGTATTATATTATTACTAATCATATTCATACTTAAAAATTCAACTATGGTAGGCAAAAACTAAGGGCTTTTACATATACACCATCCATTTCTTATGTTTTACATGTCTACCGCCTAAATTTTGCTTCGCTTTTTTATTTTTAAGCCACCAAAATTTCTAATATTGATATCACTATTTTAATTTAAAAAAAAAATAAAATGTATTTTCTTGTATAAACAATTATATGTAAAAATTAAAAATTACGTGTGGTATATTTATAAATCTTTCATTTATTAATTAAAGTTACATAAATCTATTATACTCGATGTGTGTTGGAAAATTTGTGGTGGTAAAGTAATGGATTGTCATCTTAGCATTACGCGAGAATTCAGCATAAACTCAGGTAAAAGAAAACAACCAATAATGTCATCAGAATGTTTTACGTGAAAAACTCGTAAAGGCAAAAAACTACGGGGACTAACTCAATTGTAAAAATACACTATAAATTGATGATTACAGAGATTTGTTGTCCCACAGATAGGAAATGACTACTAGGTTTTCTAATTTAAAATGTAGATTGACGGTTTCCGGTCGATGGTGGTCGATGGTGATTGGTGATGGTCGACAGTGGTTAGTGGCCGACAATGGTTGGTGGTGGTTGATGACGATGATAGTGCTCAACGGAGGTCGGTGGTTGTCGACGGCGGTCGGCAATGGTCGAAGACAATTAACGGTGGTTGGCAGTGAGGGAGGTAGGCGGTTGCCGACGGCGGTCGGCGACGATCTACCATAATAAATGTGCTGTTGAACTCCAGCTCCCACTCAAAGCTTTGAGTTCTCTCTCAATTCTTGTGTATTTGCACAATTAACATCTAAATTCAATTTTTGCATATACGTGGCCTTGTCTATGCATAAAGAAGTGTATTTCATATGTGATATTTTTGTGTGATATGAAAGTTTTCAGTGGTGTAAATATAAAAATCAAAATTTAGGCATTAGATATGCGCGCAAATACATAGGAATTGGGTTGGTATGTATGTAAATGATCATGTTCATTTTCTAGCAACCATAAAAAAGATTGATCTACATCCGGATCGGGACGGCGAATATGCGAATGATGTGAATATACAGCGTGGTGCAATCCACTCCTTCGCCTGCATGTTTGATTTACCAGACCCAATACTTTCTCTGCTTAGCGAGCCAGTAAACATGAATATTTCATGAAAAGGTTCTAAAAAGAATCAAGTTATTAAAATCTTATTTAATTTAAAGTGTACACCTTCACAATTTTAGTAAAATTAATTGAATACTTTCATAAAAAATCTTGAAGATGATAAACACATTCATAAATTTAATCAATTTAGAAAATTTCATTATTTTCATAATTGTTAATAATTAATTAATTTATTTATTTGTTCTCAATATTACTCATAAAAATTATTTTAAATATTAATTCATTTCTAATCACTTACTTAATTGGCTTGTCATTCTAATTTTGAATATTTGAATTTATCAGAAAAATTAATTGATTCTATACACATAACTTAATTTTTATTCCATTAAATTAATTTTTCATTTCATATTGTATTTAAAATTTTCAAATGAGATTTTTCAATCTTGTTGTGGCTTAATGTATTATATAAAATATATATAATTATTTATATTTTATATAAAATTATATAAAATATATAAATTGCATAGATAGATTATAAATATTATATAGATCTATAAATAAATTATAAATATTCTATAAGTAAAGATTTGGAGATCCATTTCCTCTATTATTTTAAAATTTCAAAAAAGATAGATATTACTGCATAAATAGATATTTGTAATTTTAAATTACAAAAAAAATAAATAAATGGTTTGGAATCAAATGCTCATAGTGTCCTCAATGCTTTAGATAATTTGGATTAGTAAAACTCATGAGATAAAATATATTTTTAACTTATAAATTATTTAATTATCCTTTTAATCTTTCATGTGCACAATTTATGGTCAAATCATCATAAAAAAATGATAAAATTTAATTAACATATAACTCTAATGCCATAAATAACAATCAAAAATAAAAAATAAAAAATAAATGCAATACAGCTTAATTATATTCAGCATAAAAACTAATCTATTATAAGGTGAAGATTATTGTATATGCATTTGGTTTAATAGTGATTATCAAGCATGTCTATCAACGACAGGCGAAAGAAGACGAAGTGACATCATTGGGGCCCGTTAGGGACAATCCGACATTCTATGCCTAGCCGACCAGCTCCTATAGAACGGGAGAAAAGTGTTTCCCTGATGGATAGAATACGGCCACCTTTCTATAGGTCAACATGCCGACACAAGACTAAAGCGGATGAAACCGCTCTAGTCAAACTGGATGAGCGAAGCAAATCACCTGCCCACGAAATAGCTGGCTGGAGCTTTTCGCCCGACCTGTAGAAGGATATGCTTTAACAACTAGCCAAATTGACGGTTTAAACTTGGCCCCCAAGGAACTATTGCCTCGCTAAAATGAAGGCAAGCAGGGGGAAGTCATGGCCGAACCCTCTATAGTAGGACATCTTTCTAAGGGCTCGGCCTTGTCCGGTAGAGAGTCCTGAAGGCTTCCGGCCTAACATTCATGTATTGACTAAAAATAACCATATTGTATTTACACATACTAGGTGTACGATATATATAAGTATACATCCCCTCATTCCTATAAATAGGAGTCCATTTCATGTCCTTACTCTCTCTCTCTCTCTCGCGCGTTAACACTTTATTCTTTAGGTGTGTCTCCTGAACAATTTTTGGTTCAACGTAGTACGGTGAGCGTGGAGTCATGTTGTCGACAAGAATAAAAGTACGGTGATCACAGAGATAAGAGAGTGACCAGAGAAAAATAGCCAATGTAGAAACCACACAAAAAGATAGAGAAACACATGTAGTGAGAGATGCAGAAAATGAGGACACAGATCATGGGCCAGGCTAATTCATAAAGAAGACAAATTCGAATTAGTTAATTTATATTTTATACCACGTAAACTCACCTGCAAGATTTCATTAAATGAGACATCTGCATTAAGTATAAGATATCATGATAAGATAAAAAAGCTAGTTCCAATAATATTTGAATTGAATAAAAGACTAAATCAATCATTTCCAAATAAACAAGAGTATCCTTATTTATCTAAAGTGGAAATATAGACTATATTCTATCTAAATGACAATATAATATAAGTCCATTTCAAATTCAAATAGTATCCAGTCCTTAATAATAACACACAATTTCTTGTCGCCTCAACCTCTATCGATTTGTCGTCACCTACATAGATGAATCTTTCAGTATCATTTGACTTTCAACAGTTCAAGCAACCATAATAAACACATTTATACCAGTAGTAGCATCAAAATCCATCCACCAAATGTGTTACTGAAGTTAAATTAACCTCAAAATAAGCAAAAGTGAGATGTGTGCCTTTGTTTACATGCACAATCTTTTCCATTGTCCAAGCTTGTTACAAAAAGAAGGGGTTCTTTATCTTTCTTAATATATTGTTACTTTTGAACTTGAACATCTCTTCCTTATATTTTTTTTTCCTTTTTTTGAAATCTTATCCTTCAAGGTACTCATCAAGCATGAAATTTCCTTTTTTTTTTTTTTTTTGCTTCGACCTTTATTCCTCTTGCACACGACAAGAAATAAGTTCATTGGGAGACCTTTTTTTTTTTTTTTGGCACTTGTAATTAATCTTAAATTGAATGAATTGTGTTGAATGTGATATCAAAACTAAATGTGCAAACAAATTATCAGATAGTTCTAATTTGAATATCTTAAATTTTGAAGTAAGAGAGACATTTCCATGATGTACTCTCATATATTTCTTTTGTTTTTTACATCCATTGAAATCAAGTTGTTTCATTGAACTAGTTGAGGATATTCATAATAACATTTAAAATAATTTTCTTATAAGCACATAATAAATTGTTCGTATTTGTTGATCATACTGCAAACTCGAAACTCTTGTCTTTTAAGATTTAATAATTAATGGTTACTTATTTAGTTTAATATGTCAAACTTACCTGTTGATATTTTTGTATAACAGTTAAATTACTCGCGATGTATGAAAAATGATCTTAATTTACTAGAACTAAATGAAAATATGACACTAAATAGGACACAATAGAGAAAAAAGATTCATGTAGCCGACCCCATGTAGTGGGATTAAGGCTTTGTTGTTGTTGTAGTTAAGTTACTCGCGGGAGGACGCTGACTACAATATAGAACATTTCAGTTCTAGACTTTGTTTTGGGTGTTTTCAATTTATATAGACTATTGAGTATAAATGTGTAATATTTAATATTTTAAAGACGATTTTTGTAAATTTCTTACAAAAAAAGGTTAAGAAAATAACAAAAATGAATTTGTGACCACAATTTAAATAGAAAAAAAAAAGGATGATAGCGTAATTATTTTCTGTATTCCCACCCCTCAGGCATCTCCGGCGAGAGGTGGCGGAGGGCGATGGCGAAATCTCGAATCAAAGCCTAGACAACGCGGAGGGCGATGGCGAAATCTTGAATCAAAGCCTTGACAACTCCAGCTTCCCATTTCTTCCTCAATGGCCCATCAAATCCATTCATTTCTCTTTTCATCCCTCCTTCTTCCCCTTATTGCGGTGATCTCCTTCGCTATCGTCCGCCTTCCTCACACCTCTGATCGCGCCCCTACTGAGATGCAGATTCCACTACGGATCACGGGGAGCCAAAACCTAACTAATAACTACTTGGTAAGATTCCGAGAGTACAGAATGACGGATGACCACCGCTTGGTTGCTGATTCACGCTTCTCGCGTAGCTTGTTCTTTGATGGAGGGAAAGACGGCTACTTGACTGAAAAGAAACGGCCGGGGAAGATCTTCACGTCTATGTCATTTGAGGAAGGAGGGAAGGGTAATGATTCTTTTAGGTTGGAGCGGAAGCTCATGATGGAGGTTTGTTGATATTTAAAATTTTCAAATGAGATTTTTCAATCTTGTTGTGGCCTAATGTATTATATAAAATATATAAAATTATATTTATTTTATATAAAATATATAAATTGCATAGATAGATTATAAATATTATATAGATCTATAAATAAATTATAAATATTCTATAAGTAAAGATTTGGAGATCCATTTCCTCTATTATTTTAAAATTTCAAAAAAGATAGATATTACTGCATAAATAGATATTTGTAATTTTAAATTACAAAAAAAATAAATAAATGGTTTGGAATCAAATGCTCATAGTGCCCTCAATGCTTTAGATAATTTGGATTAGTAAAACTCATGAGAGAAAATATATTTTTAACTTATAAACTATTTAATCATCCTTTTAATCTTTCATGTGCACAATTTGTGGTCAAATCATCATAAAAAAATTATAAAATTTAATTAAGATATAACTCTAATGCCATAAATAACAATCAAAAATAAAAAATAAAAAAAATCCAACATTATACAGCTTAATTATATTCAGCATAAAAACTAATCTATTATAAGGTGAAGATTATTGTATATGCACTTGGTTCAATAGTGATTATCAAGCATGTATATCAAAAATGTGAGCACGACAAGCGAAAGAAGACTATGTGGCATCATGGGGGCCCGTTAGGGACAATCCGACATTCCATGCTTAGCCGGTCGGCCCCTATGGAAAGGGAGAAAAGTGTTTCCCAGATGGATAGAATACAGCCACCTTCCTACAAGTCAACAAGCTGGCACAAGACTAACGTGGATGAAACCGCTCTAGTCCAACTGGATGAGCGAAGCAAATCACATGCCCACGAAACAACTAGCTGGAGCTTTTCGCCCGACCTGTAGAAGGATATGCTTTAACAACTAGCCAAATCGACGGTTTAAACTTGGCCCCCAACGAACTACTGCCCCGCCAAAATGAAGGCAAGCAGGGGGAAGTCATGGGCCGACCATCTCTGGTAGGACGGCTTCTTAAGGGCTTGACCTTGTCTGGTAGGGAGTCTCGATGGCTTCCGGCCTAACATTCATGTGTTGGCTAAAAATACCCCTGTCATATTTACATATACTAGGTGTATGATATATATAATTATACATCCCCCATTCCTATAAATAGGAGTCCATTTAATGTTCTTACTCTCTCTCTCTCTCTCTCCCTTTAACATTTTATTCTTTAGGCGTGTCTCCTGGACTATTTTTGGTTCAACCTAATACGGTGAGCGCGACGTGGAGTCATGTTGTCGACAAGAATAAAAGTACGGTGATCACAGAGATAAGAGAGTGGCCAGAGAAAAATAGCCAATGTAAAAGCCACACAAGAATATAGAGAAACACATGTAGTGAGAGATGCAGAAAATGAGGACTCAGATCATGGATTAGGTTAATTCATAAAGAAGATAAATTTGAATTAGTTAATTTATATATTGCACCACGTAAATTCACCTACAAGATTTTATTAAATGAGACATCTGCATTAAGTATAAGATATCATGATAAGATAAAAAAGCTAGTTCCAATAATATTTGAATTGAATAAAAGACTAAATCAATCATTTCCAAATAAACAAGAGTATCCTTATTCATCTAAAGTGGAAATGTAGACTATATTCTATCTAAATGACAATATAATATAAGTCCATTTCAAATTCAAATAATCTCCGGTCCTTAATAATAACAATCTTTTCTATTATGTCCAAGCTTGTTACAAAAAGAAGGGGTTCTTTATCTTTCTTAATATATTGTTTATTTTGAACTTGAATATCTCTAACTTTCTTATTTTTTTTTCTTTTTTTTGAAATCTTATTCTTCAAGGTACTCACCAACCATGAAACTTCCTTTATTTATTTATTTATTTTTTTTGCTTCGACCTTTATTCCTCTTGCACACAGTAAGAAATAAGTTTATTGGGAGGAAAAATTATTTCATACGGACGGCGTATGCAGAAATGCATGCGTCGTCTGATCTCCGTCGTTGAGCAGAGCTTCCATCAAAAAAAAGGTTTTTTAAGAAAAAAAAAAATTGGGCCCACCGAAATACAACTTTGCTTTGATCAATGGTGAAGATCGGTTTCTGCATACGCCATCCGTATTGAATAATTTTTCCATTGGGAGACCCTTTTTTTGGCACTTGTAACTAATGTTAAATTGAATGAATTGTGTTGAAAGTGATGTCAAAACTAAATGTTCAAGCAAATTATCAGATAATTCTAATTTTAATATCTTTAATTTTGAAGTAAGATGAGACATTTCTATGATGTACTCCCATATATTTCTTTTGTTTTTTACATCTCATTGAAATCAAGTTGTTTCATTAAACTAGTTGAGGTTATTCATAATAATATTTAAAAAAATTTTCTTATAAGCACATAATAAATTGTTCGTCTTTGTTGATCATACTGCAAACTCGAAACTCCTGTCTTTTAAGATTTAATAAATAATGGTTATTTATTTAGTTTAATATGTCAAACTTACCCGTTGATATTTTTGTATAACAGTTAAGTTACTCTCAGTGTATAAAAAATGATCTTAATTTACTAGAACTAAATGAAAATATGACACTAAGTAGGAAACAATAGAGAAAAATGATTCATGTAGCCGACCCCACGTATTGGGATTAAGGTTTTGTTGTTGTTGTAGTTAAGTTTACCTGCAGGACATTTCAGTTTTAGACTTTGTTTTGGATATTTTCAATTTATATAGACTATTGACTATAAAAATATAGACTATTGAGTATAAATGTGTAATATTTAATATTTTAAAGACGATTTTTGTAAATTTCTTACAAAAAAAGGTTAAGAAAATAACAAAAATGAATTTGTGACCACAATTTAAATAGAAAAAAAAAAGGATGATAGCGTAATTATTTTCTGTATTCCCACCCCTCAGGCATCTCCGGCGAGAGGTGGCGGAGGGCGATGGCGAAATCTCGAATCAAAGCCTAGACAACTCCAGCTTCCCATTTCTTCCTCAATGGCCCATCAAATCCATTCATTTCTCTTTTCATCCCTCCTTCTTCCCCTTATTGCGGTGATCTCCTTCGCTATCGTCCGCCTTCCTCACACCTCTGATCGCGCCCCTACTGAGATGCAGATTCCACTACGGATCACGGGGAGCCAAAACCTAACTAATAACTACTTGGTAAGATTCCGAGAGTACAGAATGACGGATGACCACCGCGCCTACCTTGAGGAGAACCTCCGGTTTTCTGAGGTATGGCGGTGGATCGAGAGGAGAAACCCTGCGTTGTCGTTCCCGACGGACTTTGGTGTTTTGGAGATCTCGGAAGGGTGATTGAAGAGATCGAGAGGTTGGAAAGGGTTACCGACGTGTTTCCTGATTCCCGCTTCTCGCGTAGCTTGTTCTTTGATGGAGGGAAAGACGGCTACTTGACTGAAAAGAAACGGCCGGGGAAGATCTTCACATCTATGTCATTTGAGGAAGAAGGGAAGAAAGGCCGTGGTTCGTTTGGTAATGATTCTTTAAGGTTGGAGCGGAAGCTCATGATGGAGGTTTGTTTATTTTTTTT